TGTCCCCTGGATCTTTGAGCAGGCAGTTCTCAATCATTGCTTATTCTAGAAATCTTTGGCAGCCAGGAATCTTTGCATCCATCAACCTTTACTTCAAAGAGAGGCTTCTTTGATAAAGAGAGCAGCTTTCATGAAGAAGTACAGTCAACACAGGCACTTAGAATGCAGTTCATTATAGTTAAATGGCAATAGAAAGTTCTTCTCTTGAGCCCATGATTTCCTCAGTCAGGCTGTTAGCTGCAGTTACAGTAGAAGGAATGGGTTCCGTCCTGTGGGGTGGCCTTCGAGTCTAATCAGAAGGCAACTGGCTCCCTCTGCAGCTGTTGTGCCACTATTTTGAAGGTTGGCTTATCTTGCTCAGCATGTTGATGGGGTTCATTGGTGCCAATACCTCTCGAGCAGTCTGCCCAGCTCCTCCCAGCACTTTACAAGCTACCCAGCAGGGAGAAAGTTGCCAGTCATTTTCCTCTTGTTTTCTCAGCATCTTAACAACTGAGGTAGAGTAAGATCATACCCTCTGTCTGGTGGACAACCAAGAGGACTGGCAAATGCCTACATTGTTTTGGGGGCTTCTGTGACCAACTCCTGACCAATTCCTATGCGGGTCTCCCACACGATTCTGGTAAAGAGACAAATAGAAGAAATTCCATTGAAAATGAAAAAAGATTACGCATTTTGATTCAGAAATGTTCAAGTGACTTCCCTAGAAGGCAATACTGATCAATCAATATTGATCATGCAGTTCCTGCACACGCCACAGCAAGGGTGCACAGATGTCTACCCTGAAGATTCAGAAGCCACCAGGGGCCTTACTGGTAGTCACATTACGCTTCCAAAAGGTCAGAGCTTACTTAAGTTCTTGGGGGAAAGAGGTATAATCTTTTGATTTACATGGATGTGCATTCCTGGAAAATTCAGTAACTGAGCCAAAATCCTACTCATGTTATTCTTTCCCAAGTTGCCAGAGCCAATATTTTTCTCTATCCTTTAGAAGCATTTGGCTCCATCTTGGTCCTGTTCCACAGATTCTGATTGTCTCTTTGTTATTTTCTGGATAAGTTGAAATTTCATTTTATTTCTGTGGTTAGTTTGGTCAACCTGATACACATGTAGACACATCTGAGAAAAAGAAGTCAAAACCGAGGAATTACCTCCAACAGATTGTCATTTGGGCATGGCATGTCTGTGGACATTTTTTTAAACTAATGATTTATGTGGGAGAACCCAGCCTACTATGGGCAGGGACATGCCTGGGCAGATGCTCCTTCATGGCCCAAGAAATCTAATGAGCAACCCATGAAGAGCAGAGCAATAAGCAGTATTCTCCCATGGTGTCTGCTCTGTTCTTGCTTCAAGATTCCTGCCCGAGTTCCTGCCCTGGCTCTGCCTGGTGATGGACTCTGACGTAGAAATGTGAGCCACGTAAATGCTTTCTCCCAAAGCTGTTTGCTCAGAGTGTTTGTCACAGCCCCATGAAGCAAACATGGAGATTTCTCCCCAGTTAGCATGGCTAAAAGCAAACGGAAAGGAGATGGGGAAGGAGGACCCTAACTCACCCTTAGCAGGATTTCAATGGTGCAGCCACTCTGGAAAAGCACTGTGGAAAACCCTCCAAAAGCTGAAAATAAACTATGGTATGACACAGCTATAGCACTCCTTTGGCATATGCCCAAAGGACTCAACAGCATCCTCCACAAATACTTGTTTAGCTGTGTTCTTGCTGCTCTGCTCACATTAGCTAGGAAATGGAAACAGCCTAAATGTACCACAGCTGATGACGGGAGAGTGAAAACATGCTGCATATACACTATGGGATACTGGTCATCTGTCTGAACATTTATCACACACACACACACACATATTTATGAACATTCACGCACACACATGCACACATCTAACAACAATTACTGGAGAAGAGGCCATGAAACTGAAAGAAAGCAAGTACAGGTACACAGGACGGTTTGGAGGGAGGGAAGAGAAGTGGCAAACGATGTAATCACAATCTCAAACAGTTCACGGATTTCAAGATCAGAAGACTGTGATGTTCACCGATTCCCAAGCCATCTGGCATGTACAGCACTCAAAGTCTTAGCTTGTGCCGTCAGAGCCTTGCCTGTGGCTCACCCACTTATAAGTGAAGAATGGCTTTAAAATTAAATGAATGAACAGTGAATTCAATTATGGTATCATCATTATTGTGCTCCCAGTTTTCTGCTTGCTTCATGTGTTGCCAGCCTTCCTCTCATCTTTCTATTCTAGAAACATCTGGCTGGCTTCCTTTTTGGTTGTAGTGGAAAACTTGTCTCATGGTAAATGAACTTATGCATTTAACTTTGTTGTTAAGAGAGACACATTACTTGCTTCTCTGGTCTCAAGTTACGGATTTTCTTCTGATTCTTCTTTGTGTTTGAGTTCTACAGGTAATTTCTTTCAAATTTGTAAGAAGTAGTTCTTTGACTTAGTCCCTTTCTTCCATTCCCAATTTTTCTAGAGTTGTCTAGATTCTGAATAGCAATGTATTTTGATAAGTTATTACTTTTTACTATAAATATTGCCTTTGCCATAATTTTGTTTTTACAGCCAATTGTTCAACATATTTCCATATAATTTGAAAAAAATTAAAATGTTGTGCGTGTGAGTGTTGGTGTGTGCATGCTGTGGCCACACGTGGAAGTCAAAAGACAGCTCTCAGGAGTCGGTTCTCACCTCATCCCTTGTTTTGAGGCAGGGTCTCTCCTGTGTCTGTGGTTTTCATGTGTATTCCACACTAGATGATCTCAGAATCTGTGCCTCCTCCTCCAGTATCCACACCTCAACACACACAGCATGTACTGGATTATGGATGAGTGACCCCACATACGGCTTCTTAAAGAAGGATTTATTTTTAGCTATGTGTAGGGGTGTTTCTGTGTGGGAACATACAGAATGTGGGTGTGAAGAAGGTGCCCTGGAGCTGGTTTAGGCATTGGAAATCCACCTGACATGGGTCCTCTACATGGGCAGGACACACTCTGAACTTCTCTCCAGCTCTTGCTTACAGCTTTTTAATGTGGGTTTCAAAGCTGGACTCAGCTCGTCAGAGATGTATCAATCTCCCTGGCCCTGGGCTTTCTCTATGTTCAAGTGCAATTAATAATCACAACTGACATACTACTGTTACCACAGCGTAAAGGCTCAAGCAGCGAGGCTCAAGAAATGTTTGGTCAGCCTTTTAACTTCTATTGCAAGTGACTGATAAAGTGCAGCTCTTCAATCCCCATTCAGAAAGGCAAAGAGGACGGACATCAGAAGAGGCAGAAAACAGGAAACAGGACAGGAGCCTATCACAGAGGGCCTCTGAAAGGCTCTACCCTGCAGGGTATCAGTGCAGATGCTGAGACTTATAGCCAAACTTTGGGCAGAGTGCAGGGAATCTTACCAAAGAAGGGGGAGATAGTAAGACCTGGAGAGGACAGGAGCTCCACAAGGAGAGCAACAGAACCAAAAAATCTGGGCCCAGGAGTCTTTTCTGAGACTGATACTCCAATCAAGGACCATTCATGGAGATAACCTAATAACCCCTGCTCAGATGTAGCCCATGACAGTTCAGTGTCCAAGTGTGTTCCCTAGTAAGGGGACAGGAACTGTCTCTGACCTGAACTGATTGACCTGCTCTTTGATCACCTCCCCCTGAGTGGGGAGCAGCCCTACCAGGCTACAAGGGAAGATAATGCAGCCACTCCTGATGAGACCTGAGAGGCTAGGATCAGAAGGAAGGGGAGGAGGACCTCCCCCATCAGTGGACTTGGGGAGGGACGTGGGTAGAGAAGGGAAGGGAGGGGAGGAGGGAAGGGGCTACAGCTGGGTTACAAAGTGAATAAACTATAATTAATAAAAGATAAAATAAAATCAGAAATTAATTTTTAAAATAAACGTAAACCTTGAAGTTTAATCCTCATCCACCTTGTGGAAGGGAAAAATATTACAAAGATAAGTGAAATCCAAATGGATTCGCTTGTTTTGGCTCACCCCCTCCCTGAAGTTCCAGGGAATTTTCAAGTCCAATAATGTGCCAACAGAGGCGTGTGACAGCTGACCTTGAGGCCAGCCTGCACTGCTTGTGGATCGATTCTGGCTGGCGGTGCTGTCAGCAGCAGGACCCCAGTAAGGGCCCAGCCCACTGCCATGCCGTTTTACTTACCTTGGAGACTGAGCGGTGCTGCGGATGTCCCAGATAGGAAGAATGGGGGTGTGGGTGTGGGTGTGGCCTAACACTTGTGTACAGGTGTTTAACTCAGGTGTTTCTCCCAGCTTAGAGCAGGAGGGGCAATGGAACAGGTCAATTCCCATTGATCACGAGGGGCTATTATGATTGATTTAAACCAACTTTAACCTGTCAGTGTACCCAGGCTGACCAACAGGACAAGTGCACAGTCTGTAACAGACACTCTGGAGTCCTCTGGTGACACCTACTCTGAAGAGTCGCTTGCTCACAGAATATATAAACCCAGGCCCATCTGATCATGGCAACAGTAACTGAGAAAAACGGGTGTAAACTGCGCATGCTTATGAAGACAAACACGTTTCTAACAACTGAGGCAAGGCCAGGGTTGCTTAGTTGCCCCAAAGACCAGAAGACAGTTTGCTTTCCTTGGCCCAGATGACAAGTTCTGCTTGTGTAAGTGGAGCTAGAGGAGAATGAAGCTTTCTGACTCCGGATGGGGAAAAGGAGCCAGAGGTGAGAACGGGTGATCCCAGCGCCCTGGTCCGGATGCCCCATCTCGCTGTGCTTTGCACATCTTTAAGCTGCTGCTTACAGACCAAGACCTGCGAATCCCGTCTGTCCAGTAATCTTGACGAGGGCATTATTTGAAGAGAAATACAATGTTTAATTTTAGGCATGGAAAGATCAAATAAATTACATCATACTGAAGGATGGAATTCGCTCCGCCATGGAAAAAGCAACACAGGGTAGAACAATTACAGCGTACTCAAGTGCTAAGCAACTTCCAAGTAGATGTACTGTTTGAAGATACTTTATTAAGATAAAAACTTTCCATTACAGTTATCTATAAATCCATTATAGGCCAAAGGAAAATAAATACATTCTGTATCTTTAGGGACATTTTTTACTCCACAGTTTTGTAAATCTGACTTTACATGTTTGCTCATTTTGAGTTACTACAGTATAGGTACACACTCTATGACTGCATAGTACCAGAACGTCAGCCTCGTTGATGCCAAGTTTCCATAATACTTCGTAAAACCATGGCTATTGTTTCCATTTTATCTCTTTACTTTCAGACTGTTCTTAGCCGGGAGAAGAGTGGAAGAGAAGAACAGCATTCCACACTCGGTTCAATTTTAAACGTGCAGACAAACATGGAAGCACTGCTTTTCTCTCTAATCCTGGCTGGCCCTCCATCGCAGGGACAGGCTGCTGAAGGCTAGGAGCAAAGTGCTCTTCTGCTTGGTGGTGAGCGTGCCGAAGTCCCAGAGCATAGAGCAAGGCCTGATGCTGCAGGTGTCAGCAGCCTTTTCCTGGCCTGGCTTATTACATTTTAATCCAACCTCTTTGTAAGCATCATAAACACCACAGGTCAGGCTGCATGCCACCTGATTTCTTAAACTGTTTTTATTTCCATTATTATTATTATTATTATTTTTAAAAGAAGGATGGTTCGGCTGTGGTCTAAAAGGTATAGGCATTTATATTTTCATAACATCCCATCCCCTATACAGACTCAAAATTTTTACTGTACTATATAAGCTCTACCCCAAACTAAAGAACACAGACAACAATCACCAGATAAAGGAAAACAGTCAATGAAGATATCTGAGTAATGACCAGAGGATACCTGTGCATCTGCAGAATGTCCTATGCTGGCATACGCCTCTTGTCATTCCTGGTACAGAATCTTGCTTTACAGGAAGTGGAAGCATTTCCCAAAGGACAGAACATTCCACCCAAACCAACTCTTTTAAGACCTGTGTTTCTAGACAGGCCGCACAGGCCACTGGCTTCAGAACAGGAACCCGGTAGCCTTTCCATCTGTGTTTAAGCAGCATAGCTCTAATTAATAAACACAAAACCTGCGTGGATGGTGCTCATTATTTCAGTGAACTTCAACTGTTGGACTTGAACACATACCAGGGTCACTAGAGCATTTTTTGTTTCTGCTTCTCACAGAAATTTGACATGTCTTAAGGAAAGCTTGCCATGGACACTGGCAAACAGCAGCAAACATGTGATATGTGTGTGGGCCTATCTGCCAAAAGGTCCAATATTTACATGGAATGTTGACCTTGCTTATAAAACTATTATTTTAAATTATCATATATTTACAGTTTATTTTATGAATAGCCTTATTTGACAATTAAAAAATATGCCTTTCAAATATCTCACAAATATATAAAATTTCCCTACATTTTATTCTTCTTTAAACATGACACTTAAACTCTTTACAAAGCAACAAAAATAATTTTTTATGAATAATTTTTATATGAAAGTCATATAGGTGATGATCTTTCTACTGGCTAAACTGCACTGCTCACGGGACTGGCAGGAGTGTGTTCTCTGACGGAACTGTGACATTTGCAGTACTGTGAATTATTCACTTGCTGGAGACCTAAAGCATCAAAGAAAGAGGGATGCCATCTGAATATGTAAATATCCATCTTCCTTCAGAAAGGGTTGCGGTGGGATCTGCCAGTGTGGATAGTGTTGGTGACAAAACATCTAACACAGTATAAGGTTTCTAAAACACACTTTAGCACAATTTAAGTGTGTGGTGGTTGCACAAATAAGAAACATAGTCACTTTCCCCTCAACTGTTCTCGCGCATGCGCATTGCGTGTCTTAGAGCACTTACCTCATTTTTATAATTTAAAAACTGCAAAGCAAGGGAAGAAAACTTCCTGCTTCCAGAAACGTTTTCTGAAGAGTAACAGATTAAAACAGGGGGTACTCTGTGGTCACCTTTTGCCCTAAGACACCACCATTTTTTTTCTGAAAACCATGAGGAAAGGATTTTATACTACATCTATAGTATTATTTAAGTCTATTTCCTAGCCTGATGCAGTGGCGTGTACTCATATTTGGGACGCTGAGGCAGAAGAAGGCCGTGTTTGAGGCCAATATAGACAGCACAGTGATACCCTCACCTTAAAAAAAAAATCAGATTTTCCCTTATAGAGAGCCTGCAATGTCACACATACGCACTCACAAGGATTTCCTAAGCGATGATATGAGCTACTTCCTCATGGGAAAATTTGAGTTCCTACTTAGTTTTAAAGTGCGCACACTAAGAACACATTTTGTACAGGAGCTCAAAGAGGACAGTGCTATTTCTAGCTGGGTTAATTCGGGGAAGCTCAAGGCTGCTACCAGCATGCTTTCAAGTGCAAGCATGCAAGGAGAAGGGCTGTGAGCACACGCGGGAGCAGGTGGCACACGGACACCAGAGACAGAACCAGATTAAAGACAACCAGGAAATTCAAAGGTTTGCTAAGAATACAGCAGTGTGGAGATTGTGACTTTAGACTGTACAGTTATGTGCTTCAAATAAGGCTGTAAATATATAAACAAAACCAGCATTGATTGTATGAAGATTTTCTATGACAGTGATACAGAGCATTAAAAAAAATCATAGCCAAAACATGAAAGCTGACCAAACTATGGACTCTGTAAAAACAGAACTGAAGGCATTTTCCTAAGTTATGAATGTAACCAGCTCACTGGGACCCAGTGGGTATCAGTCTCTAGCTTGTCAAATGTTGTTTTTAGTTCATTAAATGCCACAGTAAGATCATCATTCACTATGACTTTGTCAAAAAGATGGCCATACTGATTTTCCATTATCTGTGCTGATTTAATCATTTCTTGAAAGTCTTCTTCCTATAAAAACAAGTATTAACAAATTAAGTAACCAGGTGAGTGCACCATTTCACATCAATGGAAACTTCCTACAGTGACTTTACCTAAAGCTGTGATGCGTTCAGACTTTAAAGCAAGTCAAAAACAAAATCACTTTTACTATCACTGCTTTTCTAGAGGCTTTTAACTGTTAATGCCAGTGCTAGCTGACCTCCCTTCAGGGTCACCGTAACTCACCATTACATGAAAACATCACTATCACCGTACATACCAAGGTTGTTTCTGCCCCTGAGGCTCTGGCTCGTGCCAGTATTACGCTTATCACAAGAAATAATTTATAACACGACTACTTTCTCAACGTTGAAAGCACTGCAGAACAATAAGTCAAATGCCCCTTCCATGGTCTAGAAAAAGTGTTTGAAAAGCCTGTGGGGCACATTTTTCTTTTCTTTTCTTTTTTAAATGCCAGGAGCTATTTTAGTTAGGTACAAAACTTATGACCATATATTAAAAAATATAAGCTGCATTCTCAGAACATGCCATCATTTACAAATTATGTTTACTGAGAGATACGTCAGTACTAGTCAACAATTTAAAGTAACTAGCACCACGTGACAGCATTTGCCCCTCAAGGACAATTGTCACCATTTTAGAACAAAGAGCAAACACCCGTAATCAAAAGTGAGATCCATGCTTTGTAACTCAACAGTTCACAGATTAATACAGACCAAATTAAAGAGGGGCTAAGCCGATGAAAGAAAAAAAAAAAGGTTAACTATTTGTTGTTTTTTTGATTCAAAGATAGAATTTGAGGAGAATGAAAACAAAAACAATGAAAGACTTGCCAGGAGCTAGTGATAGCCCAGCCTGACTCTATTCTAAGATTAGAAGCCATCTCATTAGAAGGTCAAAATAAGTTCATTCCTGTTCTCTGTAAAACTTAAATTTGACCAGGCCTTGACCCACTTTCTGGAATTTGACACGTTCCATACCCAATATCCTGACCTCCATTTAAAAATGTTCTGCCAGGTTCTTATGTGACCAGAATTCCTCTGGAAATCCCCTAACCCTTGAAAGGCTCCTAGTCTTTCAGGTTTTTTGGTTTGTTTGTTTGTTTGTTTGTTTGTTTGCTACAAAAACCCCACCTTCTCCTACGTTCCATGCTATATTCTCAAACCTAGCTGTAGGGAGATAACCCTGTCTGACACAAAAATAAAGCTTGAATAATTTGACCAAAGAATTCTGGTAATGGTCTTTACTCTCCTTCTGTGGGATTAACATCAGGAGACAGCCATAAACATCTGAAGCCATAGCACCCATGGCACTTGTAGGAAATATGAGTATCATTAGGAAACAGTATTAGCTTCCTGATTCTATGACCCAAATGGCGCTTATTTTTACTGTACTAAAGTGTAAAATACAAGACAACAAAGCAAATTATTACAGTTTTTGTTGATATTATTAATGATAAATAGAAACTGATTTAGAGACTTTAAGTTTAAAAAAAGGTTAATCAAATATAAAAAGTAAGCAGTCTCATATAAATGACTGGCTTAGAAAAAAAATCAGCATGCATGCACAATACCATATTTTGTTGTTGTTGCTTTTTCTTGTTTTGTTTGGTGGCATTGGAAATAAACCCAGAGCTCTGTGCATGGTGGGAAGCCCTAAAATACAGTGGCTCTACTACTGTTGTAGTTATGGGTTTGAGACAGAGTCTTGCTTTGTGGATATGTTGGTTTCAAATGTGCCAGACAGAGGAGAATGGCCTCTACTTCTCAATTCTCATACCCCTGCATCTTGAGTGCTCCGGGGTTACAGGGGAGCATTACCATATTCAGCTCTACAAAGTAGTGCTGAGTCAATTTAATATGAACATCAATTCATAGAAGCAACAAGAACTTCCAATGCCATTGTTCAAACTGCACAGACCAAAACACACCTAAGTCTTGAGAGTTCTGTATCACTTCATCTGTAGCAGTTTCCCTAAGTACTATGTATGAACGAGCATTTAGGTGCTATTTACATGGTGGCTAAAATCTTGACACCCACCGTGAAGGGCTTTGCAGTCCCTTGGTCATCTCTGCTTGAAATAATCTTTGCATTTTTCCTTGTCTCTCTCAATCGCTCTATGGATGGAGGTTTTATAAATATCACATAGGGTTTGAACTCCAGTGTCCTTAAATGTTTTACTGTCTGCAAGAGAGAAAAGGGTTTTTTTTTTTTCATATTTCCTTATAATCTCATGCATTCTAGATTTTCTAAGGAGAAAATGTCTTAAATCATTCTTTAAGCAAGCTTATTATTCAATCAGTTCTTGGTAATGAAGGTGACAATCTCACTGAAAAAAAAATACCGCAACTTTCAATCGAAACATTTTAAAATTAACCATCACTAATGTGGAACACGGTAGCTAAAAACATCAGAAAACTAGGTTCTAGATCAAGCTTCCAAAAGCTATGATGACTGGTAACTTTCTGTCTGTAAGCTGTCCCATCTCTTCCACAGTCTCTGTTAGAAGCCTGAAGGTATATTCTGCGTAGCCTCTGCTCTCCACGAGGTTTGCCAGGACCACCTCACCCCTCCTCACCCCTCCTCACCCCATCTCACCCCTCCACCCCATCAAGTGTCTTGCTCTGTGTTCTCTGGAGGCAGGTCCTGCTATGCAGCCCAGGCTCTTGGCTCAGTTTCCTGAGTGCTGGATTATAGGTGTATACCAACTGACCCATTTTCTTTTGTGTATTCTTCTCTCATGAGATACACTCTGACCAGTTTCCCCTCCCTTTCTCCCCCAGTCCCTCCCCACCACACATATACCTCCGCTCTCCCTCAGATCCACCCCTCCCCCATTTCCCTTCACAGAGACATCAACCAAACAAGGTATAACAGGTTATAGTAAGACTAGGCACAAACCAGCATATCAAGGCTGGGCAGCATATTATTAAAAGCAACCCAGTAGGAGAAAAAGGGTCCCAAGAGCAGGCAAAGAGTCAGAGACATCTCACTCCCATTGTTAGGAGTCCCACAAGAACACCAAGCTACATATATACAGAGTGTCTGCTACAGGCCCCAGCACGCTCCATGATTGCTGACCCAGTCTCTGTGAGCTCACGTGAGCCCTGCTTAGTTGATCCTGTGGGCCATATTCCCTGGTGTCATCCACCCCTCTGGCTCCTACGCTTCACACCAGGGCTTTTAAGTGTTGACTTCTGAAGACTGAACTGTAGTCAAGAAAAACTGATAGAAGGGTCAGAACTGAGAGATATTATTGATCCCAGCAAGAGGGCCTCTCCAGAGCTGAATTTTTCCCAAGTGCCACTGTGAGGTTATGGAGATGGGCTCCCTGTATTAAAGAGAGAGAGAGAGAGAGAGAGAGAGGGGGGGGGTAGTGGGGATGGGGGAGGGGAAGGCAGGGGTGGGAAAGTACAGAGGTGGAGGTGAAATGCAGTCACTGAGTTTGGGAGTGGCAAGGTTCGTACACAGGCAGGGAGTTCAAAACAAGCAGGGTTGCCCCACTCCTTCCTGGTGCCTGGACAGGAGACAGGCTCCACATCGATGCTAAGGATCCTGTGGTTCCACCTTCTCCATCCCTGAGAGGTGTGGAAGTCCTTTATGATTGGGAGGCTAAGCAGCCCAGAGCACCACCATCACAGAAGGAGAATGTGTGACCTCAGGAGGACTAGCGTAATGCTAGGCTTGGGTACCAATCAGATGACAGGTAGTTTGATACAGCAATTGAATGTTTCCACCCATTGGCCCTCTCAATTGGTTTGAAGTGCCCATAAGCATTCCGTGGGTGGTATACAAGGTCTCCTGTGGGAGACATTATTAAACAGTGCTTCATAGCTCTGCTGGGATTTAAATGTCTTCTCTGTGTCCAAGACCAAAATTAGAGAAAGAGAACCAAGCCCTAAAATTTAGCCTGTTGCCAGACTATAAACACCAAGAATAAGACATAACACGAAACACGTTATGTATGCAACAGTGTACTATATTATTAAAAGATCCTAACAGCCAGGGGACTTGAGTGAAAACAAGAGACAGAAACTCTGACCCTGGGGCTTCTTCTCCTCTTTCTCGCTAATAACATTATGCCTTTCTTCTCCACCCAAAACGCCTCAACCTACATTTAAATGAACAGATGTCATACGAAGTTCATCCTGGGGTTCCTCGGGAACACACAGGGAATGGCGTAACGTTTTGTTTACTTACATGGGGCTGGACATCCAGCAGACAGACTTTGTTCTTCGCCAGGACAGAGCGGACTGAGTCTATGCTTGTGCCGTAGTAGTTGTTTTTATATTCACCATATTCAATGAACCTGTAGATAATCAGACACGAACCTGAGTGGTTGTGAGTGTGAAATAAGCGGGTGGCAAGTTCTACTTTGTAGGCAAAAGATATTTTTGCTGAACAAATGACTTTTTTTTTCCCCTGTATTTAATAAAATAAACAGAGCCAAGCATTTCAACAAACGTCAATTTAAAAAAAATCTTCTACATTTTCAAATCAGTAACACTTGCTTGTATTACACTTAAGCCCAAAAAAGTACTTTAGTTCAGTGGAGTGCTAATGTTTTCCATCACCCCTTTCAGAACTAATGCAATGCAATAAAACAGCGCATAAGCCAAACAATAGAAACTACTGGAATTTCACTGCACATACAGAGCAACAGAGCTGAGCACTGCAGCCACGGGAGCTGGGGTGGCTAATGGAACCAGGGCAGCGATTATGTGCTATAAAAACACAGTCACAGGGCCAAATCGAAGAAAGCATTTTGATGTTTCAATAAAATCCCGCAGTACGGCGTTAAACACGCCCTGCTTCTGACGCCCTCAAGTAGCCACACCTCAGCAGTGGAAAACTGGGCAGGGTGGAGTAGGAGCTAGCTGGAGCAGACAACGGAGTGCACTTTACTCCAATGTGGAGAAGTGCCTATGCAAGACTGAGGTATGTATGAAAAAGACTACAGTGCGCACAGATCACATACCTCGCCATTAATTTTAAAAATAGTCATATCCAAGTTACATGTTGAGATTCAATTACTGAACTGGAAAAAAGTCACGGAAGCACACGGGGAAGCTACCCTCATGCTAAACCTGTGGTTTGAACTGAACAGAAGTACTAAAAAAAAATATGGCATGAACATCAGTAATTGTGAAGTGAGCTGCCACTTTTTAAGGGTTTCAAGTGTTACTCTAATAAGTGAAACGCATTTCAAATGGAAGAGAACCTGAGGCTGTCTGAAACCAGATATACAGGCACCAGTCTAAAACAACAGTAACAGAGTAAATTCTGTTACACAGTTTTCACATACTTGTTATTTTGTACGTCTGTCTCAAACAAATGTTTGGAAATAAAAATATATTCCACACCATCACTCTCTTGGCTTCTTCTTGCTCTAGTGGTATCTGCAATTACATAGAAAAAAAAAAGATGAGAAAGGTCTAATTCAGTTACCTTAACATATTAAAAGGAAATCAAGGACATTAAGTCAGTTTCCTACACAAGATTTAAAAACACACCGGAAAAAAAAAAAAGTAGCTGCTAAAATACAGTGGAGTAGAAATTCATACTCTCCCACTGTTGTTACAATGTTAAGACTGAACATTCCATCATGGGTCTGGGCCTTCCTTATACCTCTGAAGAATCTTTAGTACAACTGATACATAAAAGTACTCATAAGTGTAGAGTTTTACCCAGTCCCCAGGAAAACACTCCCCACCTCATTTGCTTGTTATATGATCTACTGATCTCTCTTTGCTGAAGTGAGCATACTGCTCACTAGTGGAAGGTAAAGCGTTCCTACACAGCGTACAGCAGGCACCTTCAGCATTCTGTTTCACCAAATGAAATAACCACCATGTGTTATTCACCACTCTGGCCAAGTCACCAGCAACAGCATCTAGGATTCAGCCTGCAACCTTTTGACGATGTTGCCTACTTATTTTTGAGTGAATCATAAAGGGACAGAAAACATAGGTACAAAACAGAATGCTTTCCAATGTAGACACCACCTGACACCCTACAGCAGCCTAGCCTTCCTGCTCTTACAATCAAAACCCCCAGACCCCTGACAGTTACCTGAGCACCTTGAAAAGAGACAAAACAAGCTAGGTATGGTGGTGAGCACCTTTAATCCCAGCAGCCAGGAGGCAGAGGCAGGTGGATCTCTGTGAGTCCAAGGCCAGCCTGGTCTACAAAGTGAGTCCCAAGATGACCAATGCTACACAGAGAAACCCTGTCTTGAAAAATCAAAACAAAACAAATACACAAAACAGGCAAGGTTTTTCTTAGAAGGTATAACATACTGGTAACAAGATGGGCTAGATTCCTGCAGATAGGGAAAACAGCTATGATGCAACCACTCACGAAGGTTATGCTGAAAACACACTGGGCTTAAAGGAAATGTTAGGGTTAAAAGAGTTAGGTGGGGAACGTCAAGGAAGAGAAACAAGCCGGACAGTAGCTGGTGTGAGGCATCCATGCTGAGCAGCTGAGAGAAAGGACAGGGCAAGGTCAGCGTTGGCAGCAGCTGGCTGGCTGACTCCCGTGAAGCCCTGGGGAATGAACACAGGCTATTGTTGACCTCTCGCACCCTCGTGCTTCTGACGAAGCTAAATGTAAATGGCTGAACTGTGGAGAAGGATGGCTGCCACTAAAGGAGGTTCCACCTGCTGCAGAGAAGAGACCACCCCAGACCACCCAATAGATAAGGAGCAATGTGTCAGATAGTTAAGAATGACTCAGGCCACAGCTATTGTCTCCCCATGGCGAAATACAAGCTGGACACATGAGTGTGGAGAGCAAGGGCAGTCTGACAGCTGCAAGGCTGACAGTGGCAGTTCACTATGATGCGTATAGGTAGCACAGGTAGTCAAGATCAGCAGCTAACAAGGCAGAAGTCAGGCGTGGGGCACGGGGTGGGTGTGGGCTGGGGCATGGGTGAGCAGCATGTAGCAAAGCCTGATCATCAGCCTGGCTGGACTAGGGGAGCACACGGGCCCTCCACAGGCTTACACTCAATATGTTCAAAGAATTAACCGAGCTTGTCAGTCTCTGGTTCCTGCCACAGTACTATGAAAAGCAGCTCCTGGGTTTTTCCTGCCTTGGAACTCCTTGGATGCATGGGCATTGCTTTCATTTTTCCTTAATCTTTCTAAGCAAAGGCTGCTTTCACATCACTTAGTCCCATTTGTCTGTGTCTTTCATCCTCACTGGGCTGAGGCAGCAAACTTGAGAGCCGCCATCCCAGTTAACTTTGGGAGACCCTTGAGTTCCAGCACCCGAATCCCTGAGCAGGAGGATCTGGATTAAAGAAGGCCATGTCATTGCAAAACAAAAACCAAAACACTCAGCAAAACCAAGAGCGTGAGTGAGCATGAGTAAGGAGTGTAGAGAGCGCATAGAAAGGAACACATTAAGTCTCTTTAGAAACCAACACTGGTCTGAGAATAACTTTTGCTCAGATTCAAACCAAAAGAATTTAAGAAGTGAGTATGAGTATGAAACCCAGATCTCAGTCTAACCTCTGAATAATGAGGTCTCTCGGTCTCTCTCTCTCTCTCTTTCTCTTTCTCTCTCTCTCTCTCTCTCTCTCTCTCTCTCACACACACACACACACACACACACACACACACACACAGGAAAGGCTTGGAGAACTCAACTGAGATGTGTGCCATGCACACAAGTCTCGTTCTCTTCTCTGAACCAGGGCATACGGAACCCACAGTACACACGAATTAATGGAACTTAGGGTCTAAATGTAACATAGCTGAGAATATGCTAGAATGAAATGTATCAACAGTCTCCAGAATTTACATCAAAAAAACCAGCACTAAGTATTCACAATATAAAAAATGCAACCCAAGACTATACAACATGAGAAACAAGAAAACATTACCAGTTCTCAAGAGAAAAGATAACAGATCACGTTAGAATGTCACAGACTTTAAAGCACCTACTGTAACTATGCTTCAGGAAAGAAAACACATCTGAACTGGATTGAAACTATGAAGATTTACCATAGAAACGGGAACTATGAATGGGTAAGTAGAATTTTACAACTAAAAAGATGCAACATGGACAGAAACAAAACTCTAAAAGGCTCAGTAGTGTAAGAGGTAAAAAAAAAAAAAAAAAAAAGTCAGCAAGCTGGAAGGCAGGGCAGTAAAATTCACAGAATCTGAACAAAGAAGAGGGAAAAACATGAGAAGGCATAAACGGAAGGCCAGGGCTCTACGAACAGATACCGAAATGTCTATGACATGCAGAAAGGGGTCGCTAAGCACAAAAACAAGCTGAGGACGGTCAACAAGTAGTCCTGGGAAGAAATAAGGACCCCAAATTTGTAAAAATGTGGGGAAAAGGCACAAACTCACAGCACTGCAAAAGTGCATCAAATCCCACAACAGTTTTTTTTTTTTTTTTGGATTAGTAAATCGCAGGGGGCGGTAAGAAGCCTTGCAAGCATCTAGAGCATGGCTAATATTCACAGAGACTAAGAACTGCAGCTACCGCAGGTTTCTTTTTATAAATCACTAAAACATGAAATAACAGGTTTTTTTTTTTTCTTTTATCCATGGGGGAGGGCCCAGCCCATGGTGGGCGGTGCCATCTCTGGACTGGTGGTTTTGGGTGTTATAAGAAAGTAGGAGGAAGGGAGGGATTGGAAAGGGAGGAGGGAGGGAACTAGATGGGGGATACAAAGTAAATAAAGTATAATTAAAAATAAAAAAAATAATGAGAAAAATAAATACATATGCATATGGACAGGTGAAAATAAGGAACATATGTATATATATATTATATATTATATATAAACACACATAAAAAAAAAAGAAAGCAGGCTGAGCAAGCCATGATGAGCAAGCCAGTGAGCAGTACTCTCCATGGCCTCTGTGTCAGCTCCTGCCATTTCTGCCTCCAGGTACCAGCCCAGCTTGAGTTCCTGTCCTGACTTCCTTCAATGGTTAACATTTTTATATAACTGAAAGAAAAGCATCACCAACCAAATTATCTTTCAGGAAAAAAAGGGTAGAGTGGAGACCCTCTCTGGTAAAACAAACTAGTGCTCATCTGCAGACTGTTCTAAAGAAAAAGACATTTCCATATAAAAGAAGTGAGGAGGAAATCTACATCTTCAGGAATAAAGTGGTACCAGTCAAACAAACATCTCAGAATACTTTTTTCTACTTCCCAATTCAATATACCTGCTTTAACCTCGACTGTCACTACTTGGGAGCTGTCGGCTTTGTTTCCTTAGACAGGGTCCCCCCTGAACCTGGAGCCTGCCAAGTAGGGCTGGGCTGGCAAGCCAGTGAGCTCCAGGGACCCGCCTGCCTCTGCCTCCCTGTCGCAGGGAGTAGAAACACACACCACCACGCGTGGCTTTTTACATTATGTTGTGGTGAAAGAAGCAGCCCCCCCCCCCCGCCTTCAAGATGAACACTTTCCTGGTGTAGACATCGCCCCAACCCCAGTCTGGAAATTTCTGAAGCTGTTAAAGCCTGTGGTCTGGCCATCCCCCTACTTGCTTGGTCAAGGGAAGCAAAAACCTATGTCTTATCAAATTCTTGTCCATAAGGTTCGCTGTAATTGCTGTATTTGTTAATAGTCAAAAGTGGGGCGGCAGAGGAACCTCCATACCCCAGGCGAGCACACAGACAGGCTGCAGTACTTCCCTGTTAATGCTGATGTTTGACCCTGGGACTGTGGCTGCATTGCAAACTCAGGCTGAAATGAAACAAACACTGAACTGTGTAATTCAACATAAAGTGCTGGGGATCAGACGGAGTCCACAGGGACGGGCGCAGAGCAGCACTTGACAGAGTGGGGAGAAAGCCCAGCACAGCATGGGCATTTCTGAGGTGGAAATCCTCATTATGCCTATGATAATGCTTACAACATGCGCAGAGAGGCTAAAACAGACCTAAGTCCATGTCACATATTTCAATTGCATCTTTTAATAACATTCAACAGAAAACTGTGAGCCAGGAAAAGTAACAATGTTTAAAAAAACCAAAAAGTACTTATGTATTGTGTGGGGCACACACCATGGTGTGCACGTGGAGGTCAAAGGACAACTTCCTGAAGTTGTTTTTCTCCACCCACCACTTAGGTCCTCCAGCTCGAAAGCAGGCTCCTTTACCGCTAAGTTATCATGCCAGTCCCCCAAAAAATGAAATTTTAAGGCCAAATATCTGGAGTTATGTCCCACATCCTAATTCCCTTTACCAAGCCAGCAAACATATTCTAATCCAAAGGTCACTCAACAGTCTCTCACTCCTCCCCACGGAGGATCAAGAACTAGCGCTGCCCTTCATGGAATGCCACGATCTTTCCAAAAGCAGGATTAAGGACTGATAAATTTTATCCCATCATGAGAACTAGCAATACTTTTCAGAGTAGGAAAATATTTTGTTGGTTGTGTATTGTATGACACATGTTCAAAAGCAGAAACAATATTTAAATGAGTACTTTTTCCGCTTTGGAAATGGGGCTAAACTCATTTATTAATTATTTTTGTTGTTGATATTTGCTGGCGTTCCTTTTCCCAAAAGTTAGATAAAACAAACAAACAAACAAACAAAAAAACCAACAACATTGAAAGTAAAAACTGAGAGTCTTCTCTGCATTAATTTGCTGGCAATAAAGAAAATACTGTGCTTGCCCAACTCTGTGAGCTTTATACCATGACCAAGCACGTACAGCACACACTTTGAGGATCGCTGCCCTAACATACAGAGGCCTCTCCAGCATGCTGGGCCTTTCAGAAGTACACCAGCTAAGTGAATAAGACACCAGGACAGCTCTCAAGAGTTAGCCATAGCCCCTGTCCCTTTGCTGCAAAAAAAAATTCCTATCTAAGTAGAAGCGACGAACTCGGTAACAAAGAACAATGCTAAAGGAGTCCTCAAGGTGCCTTTGAGAAGATTGCAAGGGTTGTCACGTTCTAGCAAAAGTCAAGTGATGCATCCTTTAGACAGCCAAGTCTTCTAGAACACAGACAGTTTGACCTCTGTGAAGAACACGGACAGTTTGACCTCTGAGAAAACACCACATGGGAAACCTCATGAAAAGGAGGTGGGTTGGAAGATGAAAGGTGATAAAAGCCAAGCTAAGGATTTGGAATCCATAGATCCAAATGCTGAAGATGTAACATTCTCTTTTGGACCTGTCTCCTTCTGATACAGTGAGAAGAGATGTAAGCTTTAAAAGGAGCACAGGTTAAAATGCACGACTGGAAACACCAAGGAAGGTCAATAAGGGAGCCTGTGGCTGGATAGGAGAAGCCAAGCTGAGCTGCTATGAGGAGGGACAGGATGTGGGGAAACAGGAACATTCGTATCATCAGGTCCACTCCCTCCATCTTCCCCTGAGGAGCACACACAAGTCACCACTGGCCTGTGCATCTCTGCTTACAATGCAGCTAATTATGACAAATTAAACCAAGTAAAAGCAACTTCTAAGAATCTCCCATTTATCCCAGAAAGGACACAATCTCAGACCACCTTGTAGACAGAGAGCTAAACACAAGCAACCAAGAACATCAGTGGCTATCACTGTGCTAAGATTTGACTCCCCACAGACAGTAAAGGAAAATGGCCCAGGCCAAAACGACAAGCTGCATGTAAACATGAGAAGAAAGCATCGTCTAACTAATGTGCAGAAGACCTGTCAAAGGCAGAAACCAGCGATGCCTGCAAGGTCAGTGGGCTGTACTGCTGGCAGGGGCTACTGGCCAGCAGATGGCCAAAGCCAGAGCTAATAAACGTATCTCCGAGTTGGGCAAGGAGCCCAAGTACATCATGGTATCCCCTCATTGGGTTGGGTCAAGGGAATAAGCATGGTGGGTGGGGCTTGGCCCATGACAAGCTCAGAGAATTAAGCAATCTAACAGGAGTAACCCAAGTCCTGTCCATTTTCTGCTGTAAGCCCAATGAAAGACTCTAGGTGAGAAGCTCAATGGTTGTTCCTTTCTGTGACCTCCCTCTACTCTCTGGAGTTCCTCCTACATAACTCATAAAAACAAAGAAAACCCATGTTCTCACTTTCTCTTAATTCTCCTTTAAAATAATTGGTTTTCACTTTGCTTACTTTCATGTGTCTGTGTCTTTAGTAACAGTGACAATGAACTCAAGAGCCACCGACTCAGGCTGTCTTCCAGTGACTACTGAGTGTCTGCTACCCTAGTGCCTCAGACCACGTGCACCTATGCAAGAACGCCAGCACTCTCAAGGACCTGCATCTCTCTTCCTCAGCATCTCTTTGTGGAATCCCTTCGCAGCATAGGCAGCTGCAGCCTGTTATCTCCCTGCATTCTAGCCTCCAGGATGCAAACAAGCCATCATTTACCTATCTACTTACTACTGGTGGCATCTGGGTAGCTTTCAGCTTGAGCCACGTATGAAGACTATTTCTAAGCCTATCAGAGCACAGGTTGACCACACACACATTTCCACTGGATGTGAAATTAAATTTGTGGCTCCTATGGTATTTGTGCAGTTTTACAGTACTTACTTTTCTAAAGTATTAACTTGAGCTCACATCAATGCACGGAAGTTACACATCTCCACACCTGTTAATATACACTGATTCTAACGGACATTTAATGTATGTTTCAGAAAAGAACATTACAGAAGCATGTATCAAACAGAGCACTACTATGATCAAAACTGAAAGCTTTCTCTAAAATTCCAGGGCCTGCCCAAACTATTTTGCAAAGCAATACAATCTCAAATCACAAAATTCACCTTCAAATATATTCTTGAATTGGCTAGAACACTGAGCTGGTGCTCAGTGCGGTACCAGGAAGCCCTAGGGCAGGTTGCCACACACACAAAACTTCATACAGCTTTCCCTACGAGCCCGAGGACATCTCAGGAAGCCTGGGGAGCACTCTGCACAGGAGTCTTAAGGCATTAACATGTTTAAAAGTGAATCCCATTTAAGAGCAAGAAGTAACTGCAGTGAAAGAGTCTTTGGTGAGCTCTTGACATGACCTTAGTGTCTGCTCAAACGGAGGCCAAGAGCTTCGTTTTGAAATTCTCAGCAGTGCTGCAACTCTCACAGATGGCCACCTCTGATAAGCAGTATTTATCTTCGAAAGAAACTAAGCTGTATTATTTACTGGGCTACTGCAGTTTGAAAGGACAGCGCTATACAGGAGAGGATGAGAAGTATCTTGAACTACAACTTGCATCCTCATCGGCTCACGTTCTGCTGTTGCACAGCTGGCAGGGCCATCTTTGGAGGTTGTGGAATCTTCCGAAGGTGAAGCCTGACTAGAGGAAATAGATTAGTAAGGGCAGGTCCGTATAGGATGGCCTCCAGTTTCGGCTTTGCTCCCTGCTTCCTGCTTCTCTACCAAGCACACAGGCTCAGGCACCGAGTACTGCCACGCCTTTCCTATCAGGAATGGAATCAGTTCCTTTGACCCAGGAGGTTGGTACTAGCAGGTATTGTGTTCACACTGAACAAAGGTAACTAACATGAGAAAGGATAACACAGCACAGCGCTTGCTTCATGTCCAGGTGAAGCATCCTTTCAATCTAGTTCTCCCCCTCAGCGAAGCTTCCCTTCTACCCTCCTCTGTGAATGGGAGAAAATACAACCTGTTCTACGCTGCTGCGTAGAGGGTCATAGAAATGATGGATTTTATATAATGAGGAGCTGATGCAGCAGGAAAAAATGATAAACCTCCTTCCCCCTTAGAATCTGTTTTGAACCTTCTGGGTTTCTCGCATAGTCATGCACCTGAAAAGGTCAGCAACTGTTTGGTAAAACTTTCTAACAATCTGTACACTGGAATTCAACATCTGTAAGAGAAGGGAATTAAAGGGAAAAAAATGAAGGAAAAAAAAAAACCCTGTACCATTCCACATGGTTTCTTTACTTTCATCTTGGTTGCTGAAAACCAGAAGTCCCCTTACTCGCAGCTAAAAGTGATTACAAACAGTAATTTGGAAAAATGTAGTAACATGAAGGAACTGAAGGTAGCAGAACACTGTAATTTAGAAACACTGTTGAACTCTTCCAAAACTAGAGAACATTGCTAAGGGCAATATACAAATGATTTTTCTTAAATGCAGCACTAAAACCACTTGAAAAAGCCAACCTTTCAATTTGGCCTTTCATACGGCTTTCTAACATCAACATATTAAGTAGTCAAATGGCATTTATTCTGGAGATCAAAAATGTTTCAAGTATCGTATTTCATTTGTAAAAATGCATATGAAAACCATTTTTATAAAAATAGATCTAATTCTGTGTACCCCAAAGAAGCCTACCATGTTTGGTCAATTAAGCGATGGAAAGCTCATTTGAACTGCTACCTGCCAATTACTACATATAAAAGATAATTAAGAAACCTTGGTGCTATGAGAAGTCTCCCCCAGCTCTCTGGGGTTGGGTCTTTCTAATCATAAAATGGCTTAAAAAAAAAAAAAGCTTCTGGAAAACACTAGAACTTATTTGGGGGAACAGAACAGTAAGACTTTTATTTAGAAGATAATGTGACTAGAGCCTGCTGTCATCAATGTACTAAAAGTCACCATAGAAGTCTCAAGCGTAAACTGTGAGTATGGGGCAGAGCCTTGACTCTGACGGCCCGCTGCCCTCCCTGATGTCACAGTGTAACATCTCTGCGGACTCTCCAGGGCTGAGAATGACCTCGAGGACAGCCATCAGCACTATACCAGCTCGCTGAGCTGCTGGTGACCGTTACGTGTCCTCAGAGAAGCGCTGAGCACTTGGACTCACGGGGCACAGTCACGCCGTAGTGCTGCGTGTCGCTGATCAGTAGCTTCCTCTTGAGCTCATTCAGCCCGACGCCGACAGGACCTGAAACACAGGCAGTGGAGAGTGAGAACGGGAGTCTAGACCTCTGTCCAGGCACGGAGCCTATTTCTAGCTGAGCTGTAGGTATGGGAAGGACTGGGTTTCTGGCATTGCTTCCGAAAAAAGTGCCCCCTTTCAGAAACAAAACAAAACTTAAAACAAAACATACTCAATAGCTGAGGATATTTCTAAGTAACCCATATACAATCACCTAAAATTGTACTGAACCATCCTGATGATCACTTCATTCTTAAAATATTTTTTTTAGATTTCAGTAAAAGAAAATTGTTAACCTTTACTTCATTTTGGGTACCAATTCAATGGAGCATTTCAAATGTGCAAAGCCATGTCCACACAGAGCTCTGTCATGACCTCCTAGCCTACAGAATTTCAGGTAGTCCCAAGCATTTGAAAGCTGACACGGGCATTACACATTTGCATCTGCCGAAGGCAGACACAGAACATACAACGAGCAAGGCAAATGGCATGTACTGTGACACTGAGAGATGGCAGATAAACACGGCATTTAAAGAAAATGGCTCGTCAGTGAGGGTCCCGGGGCTGAAGAAGAAAAACCACCCAAATCACAACCACTAGTCTGAAATCACAAGCCATGAGGGTTTCAGCTTTACAGCGGGCGTTCCTTCCTCATCTTAAACCTCACACAACGTGTGGTTGGGGTCTATGGATGCATTGTGCAGACATGTAGCCAGAACACAGGCCCCAGGGCCAGCCTGCCCTGAGCTAGGTCCCCACCTGTTCCTATCCAAACTTCTCATTCTGTGATATTGGAGAAGGTGACAGACACACTCCCACCTCCGGGAAGGTCGGGTGTGCTCTCTGGCGAATCGCAAAGCTCTCCTTCTTGGGAGATGGGAAGAAAGCTCAGTACAGACTGGCATGACTGAGCACCCCTTGTCCTGTCTCTTCTGTGGGCCAGAAGACCCAGGAAAGGATGCTGATGAGCTTGCAGGCACACAGAGCCCGGTTCAGCCAAGTGCACTGTGAAGGGAATGACGTGAGAAAAGGCAAAAGAAGCAGGACTGGGGACCAGACCATCCTTCCCACCAGCTCTGTCCTGCTCCTGCTTTCCACCTTTTTTGCATGGCTGTCAGGAGCCTGTTTCTCTGTCAAATTCTCTTTGTTCTCTAAGACTCCATGAGAACTCAAGTGGTATGCTCAAGTGACATTCACAGCTACCAGAACTTACTGGAACACACAGTTCCCCTCTCCAAATTAATGTGCTCGCCTAGCAAGAGCCTAACAAAGGAGAGAGAGAGGAATGTGAGTTCTAACAACACAACTTGTATTTCCACACTTGGCATGACCAGAAGGAAAACATGCAACAAAGTCAGATGTCTGCATCCACTTACTTCATATTTTAGAGCTCGAGAGCCGCAGCATACAAGCAAGCACACAAACAGAGGCCCATGGGTACAGGTGGAGCAACACCACCATCTGGATAGAAACCATGACCGGGTTTACCTGAACATGAAGCATCATGGGTCTGCTTCTGAGGCCTTCTCCTTAAAGTTATGCTGAAGGCTTGGATGGCAGCTTGATGTGACTAGACCATGGGGCTTGATCAATGGCTGAATGGTGGAGCCCAAACTGCAACGCACACTTGACCATAGGACCTTTCTCGGTTTCATTCTGCGATATGTGCAGCATCCTGCCCGGCCCCCATGCCCTCCCTCTCTCCTGTATTGCCAGGAGCCTCCCAGAAGCGAAGTCGGCTGGCCATGGCTGGAACCTTTGAGACAGTGAGCCCAAATCAATCTTCCTCATTTTGAGCTGTGTGTTCAGATACTTTGCTATAGTGACTGAGCCTACTAACATAGAGAGAGAGAGGCAACCTTAATTGACAGGAGTGCAACAGGTCGGGTGTATCCCAGTGAAATAACACCAGCGATAGGCTTGATCCTAACGGCAGCATGAGAACGTTAACCTGACATTAACCTGAGTGATAAAAGCACATCCAATGCCACACAAGGCTGGCATCTAGCCCTACCCTAACTTTGGGTTATGTACCAAGTTCACCGGTTTCCTATACTCTTCCCACTTCAAACGACTTGCCACCCTAATTATACACGCCTGCTCACTGGCCTGGATCCCCTACCAGGCTGTGAGGTCTGTGAATACAAAGCCATCTCCTGCCCCACTATTTCCACAGCTGGCAAATTACAGGCTCTTAAGTGTCTGTTTCGTGTTACCGGAGCTACAGCCCGGGGTCTCACAAATGCCAGGCAGGTGTGCAACCAGAGTGCCACGTCCTGAGGGCCTAGATCATTTATTTAAATTCCATGCAATGTGTGCTGTCATGGGATGAAAACGCGAGCGAACTACAGGCACGGGAGCTGAGAGCACCTGGATGTGGGGACAGGCACTGCACTCAGACACACGCAGCAAAGCAGACCAGGCGGCGAGTGCTCCAGGTGCAGTGAGTTTCGAGAAGGAACATGCTAGTTCTCTGCATCCTGACAAGACTCACAGTACACTAAGGAAAGTGGCTCAGAGTCCCGTGTGCATGCTCAAAGCCAAGACTCTGCTGCTGGGAAGAGAGCATGGCAAGCAGATGGCACCTGCTGACGGAGTCCCTGAAGCCACAGGAGGGCTGTGGATTCCACCCACCTTGAGGCTCAAAAATAAGATGAATATGTTCTTGAAAAGAAACAGGAAGAGATGTCAAAGGAATACCATTGTGTGTCCCTTCCATGTGTAGATGAAGTAAACCCAGTCACTTATGCCCACAAAGTATCCCAAATACTAAAGCATAGAGGGCCTGCTCCATGAAAGAAAATGGTGGAAAATCAGAGGTTCTTTTCATAGCTCTCAGTCCTGAAGCACTTCCTAGAGAGGCTCTTTAGGTAGAAACAGAACTCTCATAATTCACACTCTACCGAGATCACTAGCAAACAAAGTAGAACCAACACCCCCACCCAGTCTCCAAACCCAACGATTTAACTCAGGAAACAATCAATCCAAACAAACAAACAAACAAAAACCCTGCGTGTGTCTGATTAGTAACAGGAAGCTATGCCAGAGCCAGGACAGCACCTGTAAATTCTCATCATACTCTCTGCCCGTCCCATCAGGCAACTAAGGATGTCACCCTCACAAGCCACCTCCAGCCACAATCACTCATACCGGTGAGGCATGACCACAGCAAAAGACTCTGCCTCAATTTCCCTACATTTACATGCTTCTAGACTGTGATCTGCAATGGTAGACTTAGCATCACAGAAAGTGTGGAGGAAGGACAGAATTTCAAATCACCCTTGCTATAGAAGTGCTCCCTGATGCACACGAGGTAGCTTCCCCATGGGGTTCCTGCCCATTCTGCCCCTAAGCTGGGGAAGAACGCCAGCCTCTTACCGACTCCAAAAAAGAGAGCCAGAAACAAAACCCCACATGCACATCTGCTCCCCATCGCCCCTCTCGTGAGCGGGAACAAGTACATCAGTTTCAGCTGGCTTCTTTACACTCAGAACACACGGTCTATGTGCAGACAATGCAGGGATATGAACAGGCTAACTCATACATGCGTCTCAGCCGAGGGGACTCATCGTACCCTCTAGGACATAAACTTTAACCACACTTGGTAAGGTGTGCTTATCTGTGCATACATGACCTCCTGGTTTGTTTTCAATGGTTCTTGCTTGAAAACCTCCAGCTCCTGGGGGTTTGGTTTGACGCGGACTCCAGCGGGAGAGGCTTTCATGTAGCAGAAACCTTTACCATATCTCTCAAAGTGTCACCCTCATTTTACAGAGGAGAAAGCTAAGACAGTTAGAGGCCACGCGCTTTTCTAAGGGTCCACATGGATATGGCTCTCAGGTTATTCCAAAGCTCCTATGGCTTGCAAGCCTACACTTCCCCACTTGGCCCACACGGCCATCAAAACAGTGTAGAGGGAACACAACGCCGGGTTCTGCGCTGTCTGTGGCGAAGGCTCCTAGCGTCCTGCGCTTCTTCACCCCTTCCTCATACCCATTCTGTCAACAGCAGTTGCCTAAGCTCGTGGCTAAGGAAACTGGCATAGGCAAGATCTGCTGGCCTCTCAATATCACAGTGTCTTTGACACTCTGAGAAACCCTGGGAAGGCTAAAATAACCTTAAGTGTGCACCAAACCTGGACACTCTAGATGCACGTCGGGACACACCTACTGTAATTTTTTCACTTAGGATAAAGGAAAATCAACAATGATGATGCACAAGTGAAGGCCCCTGAAGCTCACTGCACTGACGCTAGCTTATTCACTTAGAATTGAGACCGTAAGCTAAGGCTGATGCACTTTCTAGTTGTCAAGAGAAAAAGTGTGTTTACAGTCAAGGCAGAAACGCCTTTCTGAGGGAGGTCCGAGGTTCACAGGACTTGGGGATGCCATGAAACAGAGAAGCTCCAGGAAGCCCAGAAAGCCATGTAATTCACTGACCCCCCCCCCCACTCCAGGGTCACGTAAGCTGTGTAGGGATGCAGCTTCCATCACGCTGGCCCTTCACGCTGGCACGGCCCTGATGTTGCTGACCGCGGGTCACCCATGCCCTTGGAAGTAGCCCCGTAGGTCCAGTGCTTTGCTGTGTTAGACTTGTATGGAGTTGCTTCTTTGGCGTGTTTACAATGTCCACCCTGGGGTGACTGGATGACTGACTGCTCCTGTCACCCCAGGAAAACTTAGAGAGCAAACTTAAATTAATTATTTGCATCATTTAAAAACATTTTGTAGGGTAGGGACAGAGCTCAGTGGTAGAGCAACAGCCTAGTAGCTCAAGGCTATAATAAGCAAATAAACAGGAGCCAGAGAGATGGCTCAGTGGTTAGATGCACAGAGGACCTGGGTTTGGCTCTCAGCATCCACGTGGCAGCTCACAAGTATCACAACTGTAGCTCACAACTACAGCTCCCTCTTCTGGCCTCTGAAGGCACTGCATACAAGTCATGCATAGACATGCATGCAGGTGAAACACTCACACACGTAAAAATAAATCTAGCCAGGCAAAAT